CCCTCTCATCGTGTTTATTATCTGTGTAGAGGAATGCTATTGACTTTTGGGTATTGACTTTATAACCTGCTATGCTACTGAATTTCTGTATTAATTCCAGTAGCTTCTTGGTGGAGTTTTTGGGTCTTCCAAGTAAAGTATCATGTCATCTGCAAATAATGATAATTTATCTTCTTCTTTACCTATTCTTAATCCTTTTATTTCTTTTTCTTGTCTAATGGCTGTAGCTAATGATTCCAGAACTATATTGAATAGGAGTGGTGATAGCGGACATCCTTGTCTTGTACCAGATTTAAAAGATTTCAGTTTCTCCCCATTTAGAATTATGTTAGCCATTGAATTTTCATAAATGGCTTTTACCAGATTGAAGTAGAGGCCATCTATCCCAATTTTCTGTAGTCAACAGAAAATTATAATATGAATGATATGCAAAACTTTTCTGGAACTGAGTGGATCTTGAAAGTAAAAATATTTGGTATTAGATGTTTCAAAGATTATTGTAAATCTTCCACATTCATGTGTGTGTGGGTGTGTGTGTGTGGTGCTGATTATCAAATTCAGGGCCTCACACATTTCAGCAGATTCTTTACCACTGAGCTACACCCTCAGCCCACAAATTATATTTTTTAATTGTAAAGTACACCATCTATTTCAAAATAGGTATATTACATAAAACATACACCTTGTAGAACAGCCCCAAATAACATATATATATATATATATATTCCATATTTAACACGTATGTTATATAAATATATCAGTATAATTACATTTATAAATTGATATTTTCAATTCTTTTACATTCAAAGAATATGTATTAATTACATTCAGCAAATGACAAAGCATCTTGGTGCTTTTAATGACATAAGACATATGTTGTACTTAAGTACTTTGCATAACAGTGTAATGGCTAGTGCTGGATCCAAAGCCAGATCACCTGAGCACAAATCTCAGCTGTGCCACTGACAAACTGTGTTATCTTAGGCAAGTTATTTAACATCTCTGTGCCTCACTATTCTCATTTTCCAAAGAGAATAACAGTATTTACCTCATGAGTTGCTTGTATAGTACTAAGAACGTTTTGCACATTGTATGTACCCAATGTCATTATTATCTTGGTGTAGCACCTGAAAGCACACTAAAGAATACTAGGGGCCCGTTATTAGTTTCCTCCTTTAGCATAGCCTATAGTTCTCCAACTTAAGTAGATTGTTTCCATGGTGATGGTAGCATCACAATACCAAACTCTATCATACTATCTTTTCTAGCTTTGAAAGTTCCATGATCTATTCTGAAAGATTTGACAATTTTTATTCTCTAATTTTCTCGCCTAGAGTTTGACAAGTACTTAATATCTTTATTTCCATACTACATTTAGACATTATTAAAACATTGTGACAATTAGGATCCTTGTGAGTTAAAATTTACCAGAGTTATCAGTGTGAAAACTAAACTGAAATGGCAATCCAGTGAATTGATGCCTTATATTCATAGTATGTTTCAATATGTGTAGACTATGACTAAGTTATACCTTAGTGCCCTGCTGGTACCTGGTAGATTTCTTTGGATAGCAATCATAAGATTAATCCTAATTTCAAAATAGGTAATATGAAAAAAACCTTAGAAGTGATGGAATATGGTAGTAAGCTGAGAAAAATGAGATGTTCCAAAGGAATTGGATAATCTGTGTTGGGCACTGTACATAATGGTAGCACTATTGAGGTTACATGAAACTGAAAGTTCACTTTTATTGTATAAGTAGTTTCTCACATGATAATAATCAATACTATTTTTTCCATAGAACTACTTTCTGCTTTCTTCTTCAATGGACAAAACTGTCAGATTATGGCACATTTCCAGAAGAGAATGCCTTTGCTGTTTTCAACACATAGATTTTGTCACTGCCATAGCTTTCCATCCAAGAGTAAGTAATTGTTTATATACCTTTTTTCATACTAAAAGAAAGATGAAGAAGCCAGGGAGATACCTCAGTAGAATAAGCACTTGCCTGGCAAGTGCAGGGTTCTGAGTTCAATCCCTGGTACCGAAAATAAATAAATAAATAAATAAAAATAAAAGAAAGATGAGAAAACTTAGTTTCTCTAGAAGTAATCTGGACTTCTAGAAAAAAATTATTTAAGCACATAGTTGAGAGCCACTGAAAATGCCATTCCATTTTACTTTAAAAATAGGAAAGAAAATAAATGTTCTGCTTATCTTCATTAAAAAGTAAGAATTGCCTATTCCAGATACACTGTTAAAGATGTAATAGAATTTTACATCCTAGATATAAGTCATTCTACATATTAAACAAGACATGCAGAGTATAAAGTATTCTACTAAATATGAAACATACTGGAAATGAAGAGAAAAGATAAAATGGCATATGTAAAATGAAAACAAGAAGTATATAGACAAGAATTGTGGGAGGCTGGAGAAGTAAGAGACAAAGTAGAAAAGATTACAGGGAGGCAAAGACAAAAATCCATCATAAGATATAATGAATTCTTATTTAATGTCTGAAAGCAATATTAATATGTTTTGTTACTGATCCTTTTGAGATAAGGTCTCACTGTGTTGCCCACGCTGGCCTTGAGCTCCTGGGCTCAGTTGATCTCTTCCCTCAGTACATTTGACTCACAGTCTTACAGATTTTTTTTTCTAGTCTAGAAAATCCTTTAGTATTTTTCCCCTAGAAAGAATTTCATGATTTCAACCAAAGAACCAAAACAAAATGTAGGGGAAAAAAAATCTACTGTCATAGAATTTCAGAGCTATCATATGCCCTTATAGGATAGAGCCACCAAATGCAGTAGTATAAATCAGTTTTAGTTTTTTTCAGCTGTTAATTTCAAAGGAAATCACGTATCAACTCTATTAGCTAGGTTAAAGTAAGTGGAGCACTTCCCTACCATAGCTTTCTCCTTTAATGTTGATACATGGTTACCTTTCCAATCATGTTGTCATCTTAATTAACAATATGTCTTTTGAATGCAATGTTTCAATCATATTCCCATTTCTTTTTCCCCTCAAATTAGAACAACTTTCTTCTAATAATTGCCCTTTCTAGCATGCTTATAGCACAGGCACTAATAATTCTTAACCCTTAAGACTTGGTTGGGCACTTTTAAAAATTAAAAATATTATAATGGCCATTGTTGAATTTCTATTATTTTGTTTAGTGAAATTCTGTATCTTTTTTTTACTAGTTTGTATTCTCTTTAATTTTTTTTTTTTTTTTTGCGGAACCAGGGATTGAACTCAGGCCCTTGCGCTTGCCAGGGAATTGCTTATTCCACTGAGCCATCTCCCCAGCCCCTTCTTTAATTTTTTTTTAAATTAAAAGTATCTGATCTATTTTAATACTCTATCAATTTGGCCCTTCAAGCTGTTAGAAGATTCTTTCTGAATAATGTCTCTATCATGTCTCCTAATGATGTGGCAGAAAGATAATTTTACCTGATTAGCAGTTGTAAGCAAAATCCTTCCTTCCACGTCCATTTTAGTAGTCTCAGGATAAAAAAAACTGTACTAGGTTGTAATACTGTAGTTATCTATTAGCATTTTATGATTTGGTCTCTGTTTAGTCCATGATTGACTTTTCTCTGATTTTATTTTGGAAACATAAGTGCCATATTTTACAACACTACTGACATGAAGGGATTTTGAGGGGTGCCAGGGAAGAGCAGTAGTATCAACTTTTTCTTAGGCAATGTTGCTGTCACTGTAATATTATAACAGGAACATAGTAGAGTTATAAATGAAATAAATTGGAGAGACACTTGTATGTTTCTAACTAAAATTTTTAATTAGAAGACAAAAATGAAGTTCTTTTTTTACTTGTTCAGCTATTATGGTAGATTTTCAGTAGCCCTTACTAAACCATAGCCTTAAATTCACCATCATAGCTGGCATTGTGGTATATATCTGTAATCCTAGTTCCCTGGGAGGCTGAGTCAGGATCACAACTATGACCCCAACCCTGGCAGCTTTGAAGTTTAATGAGAGACCCTGTCTCAAAATGTAAAAAGGACCGATGACAAATTCAGTGTGTAGTGTAGGTCCTGGGGTTAATCCCTAGCACTACAAAATAAAACTTGTCTATCACTTGTGGATTGTCCTTGACAGGCTTCAGATAATAATAATTCTTACTCAATTATTCTTGGGTAAGAATAATTTGAAATCTTGAATGGAAATCTTCTTATAGTGTCCCAAGTTTTTAGTATTTTTTGTGTTTTCAAAAGCTAGACTGACTTACAAAGGCAGGACTAGTTTACTTCACAGCAAGATTTCTCTCCCGTGGTAGTGTTGACATTCTTGGAGAGAAAAGGAAGCCTGTCATGTGTTAAGCATTTGTTATGGTTTGTGTATAGGTGTCCCCTCAAAGCCTCATGCAGTCATGGGGCGACTTCTGGAGTTTGTGATTCATTATTGTGGGTGTGCTGCACTTGCCCTGGAGCAGATAATTTGTATCACAGTGTAAGAAGGGGAAAGAGGCTAGCTAGCTGCCACTTCCTTTGCTCTCTGCTCCTTGCCACTGCCAGGAAAGGTTTCTCTCTGCCATGTGCCACTCTGCCTTGGAGCCAGCTGAGTATGGACTGAAACCTCCAGTAACTGTGAGCCAAATAAACCTTCTTTCATTTTCAGTGTCGGGTATTTATCCCAGCATTGAGAAAAAGAGTAATTGAGACAGCATTGCAGGATATTTAGCATCATTGCTGACCCTACCTACTAAATGCTGGTCCCACCCCACCCCACCCCACCCTAGGCTGTGACAACCAAAACTGCCTTCAAACATTTCTAGATGTCTACTGTGAGACTTACAGGGCCCAAAGTAAGGATTCCTGGTTGAATCTGCTGAATTCTGCTGATATATCAGAGGTTTTTTAAAATTGTTCTGTAGGCAAATACTAGTGTTACCCTTTGATCCCAGCATTATGTGTCTTTCGGAGAGTGTAGCATAGGATGGTATTTCCCAAAGCATGGTCCTTGAAGGTGCTAGAACTGTTAGATGTTCCTGACTTGTTTATACCACCACCCCCAAAAAAATAAAGGTCTGTCGTGAGATAAGTTGGAAAACACTACCCACTTCCTTCCCCTTTTGGAGATTCAGAATGCAGGTTAGCTGTGACTGTTGTTCACAACCCAGAATATCTCATACTTGCTCGATTATGTAATCTTCCGTGAGGTATAAACAGGCACATTTTCTGTTAGCATCTGTATCATGGGAAAAGCAGTTTAAGAATATGATACAGCAATCAGAATGTTATTTCTCTACGACATAGACACTGAAAATTTTAATTGTTAATTTTTTTAATGTGATTGCTTAAACAATAATAGATTTGGACTGGGGGTATGGCTCAGTGATAGAGCATTTGCCTAGAATTTGTGCAGACCTGGGTTCAGTCCCCTTAAGTATGAGGGATGGAGGAAGTATACTCTTTAAATGAAATTTACATTTTTAAACATTATTTTTGGGGTCGGGGAGATGGCTCAGTGGAATAAACACTTTCCTGGCAAGTGCAAGGGTCTGAGTTCAACCCGCAGTTCCGCCAAAAAAAAAACCACACACACAAAACATTATTTTTAACAGATTTAGCATGTTGATTTTAATGTGGTAAAATAAAAGCTTCTTCTGCCACCTTTTTAGGATGACAGATATTTTCTCAGTGGGTCATTGGATGGAAAGCTCCGCCTTTGGAATATACCTGACAAAAAAGTGGCTTTATGGAATGAAGTAGATGGTCAGACAAAATTGATCACAGCTGCAAATTTCTGTCAGAATGGCAAATATGCAGTGATTGGGACCTATGATGGCAGATGTATTTTCTATGATACAGAGGTAAATGATCCTTTGTTAATTGTGTAACTGAATACTTAATAAAACACTTGTAGTTTTAGACAACTGTTTTATCTCCTTCAACATTAACTGCCTTATCTGTAAGTTAGGTAAAAAATATCATCCCTGAGAATTAAGTTTTTTTAAGGTTTCTTTGAATTCTGATGTTTTTTATTTATAATTTCATTTTAGCATTTGAAATACCATACCCAGATACATGTCCGATCTACTAGAGGGCGCAACAAGGTTGGAAGAAAAATTACTGGCATTGAACCTTTACCTGGAGAAAATAAGGTACTATAATATTCAAAAACATGCATGTCCAAACTTTATAGATTTGTTTTTTGAGATAGGGTCTCACTATACAGTTCAGGCTGGCCATAAAGTCACAATAGAACCCAGCCTGGCCTCAACCTTGAAATGATCCTCCTACCTAAGCCTTCCAAGTGCTGGGATTACAGTTATGCACCACCGTGTCCAGCAGTAATCTATAGACTCTTAAAAGTTAGTTTTAGTATTTAGACAAAAAATGTATTCATTTTCCTATGGTATATACTGCTTTTTGCTTTGATACTGTTTTATATGTTTTATGTTAAGAGATGACATTTTTAACTTTTCCTTTGATTTATTTTTAGATACTGGTAACCTCAAATGACTCCAGAATCAGACTATCTGATCTGAGAGATTTGTCATTGTCTATGAAGTACAAGGGTTATGTCAATAGCAGCAGCCAGATCAAAGCAAGTTTCAGGTAAACTGGCACTGAAATTCTTAGGAGTGATCAGAATATTTTCCTCGCCATAGAACTGTACCTTATGTTTCTATAGGGTTTTTATTTCTTTGAACTTTTATAACTGGTATTCATTTTCATGCAATAACTAGCTTATCTACCTAAATGGTAGGTAAGAGTTATAATGGCCCCTATTCTATAGATGAAGAAACCAAAACCCAGAAAATTAAGTGATTGGCCTAAAGTCATAATTAGTAACACAACTAGAGACTATATTGGTAAGTGAAGTAAATCAAATCCATATGTGCAAACATCATATTATCTCGCTAGTTTGAGAACCTGAAAGAGTAAAATCTGAAAGGTACAATAGATACTATGAAAGGGAAAGAATTTGTTCAATGGGAAGCAGAAACTGGGATGAGGAAAAGGACAAATGAAAGAAGGGGAAAAGATATATTTAGGTATATATGCAAAATAGTTGGACAGTTGTGCTGCTGATTTCTCCTGGTCTTTTGAAAGGAGCAGCTAATGCTTACTTTTTTTTCTTTCTTCTTACTATTTTTTGATCTTTTGAATTTCTTACAGCTTTTTTGTTACTGTTCTGTTTTGATTTTCTTTAAACCAGTCTTGCACATTTATATCTGGTAGCCTGAACAACTAATTTGAGGTTAACATCATGTAATACAGCAACCATTGTTGAATTCCTATTTGTTCAGTGAAATTTTGTATTGTTTCTAATGCTGTTCTTTTCTATCACTATTTTGTATTCTTTAAAAAAATAAAAAAACAGTTGTACAATTAGGATTAGAGCCTTCTCAGCTTCAGAACTTTGCTTTTATATTTTTATATAAGCTTTTAAGAGTAGATTTTTCCCTTTTCCATTTGTCTTGATCCTTTTAGGTATAAGAGCTAAGAAAGCATTTTATTCTAAAGCAAAATGCCCTGCCTTTATACCTTTATTTAATGTTATTATTTGGACTCTTAATTTAAGATTTATAGGCTTTCCTGAAATAGAATTGCCTGCCTACCCTTTCTTCCTAGTCTTTTTTCAGTTCTTTTCTCGTCAGTTGTTTTCTTCTTGAATTACCCAGTAATTACCCATAATTCAATCAGTAATAACATACTGCTTCTCTCATTCTTTGAATCATTATTTATTTCAAGGTGGTTTAACTAGTATCACACTTACCAGAGCTTTGAAAATATAAATTCTGCATCTAGGAATATAATTCAGTGTGTTGTATAGTGCTTGCCTAGCATGCTTGATAACCCTAAAATACACATAAGCTGTTCTGTCTCCAACACATACATACACAGTCATACACACACACACATACACACACACACACACACACACACACACACACACACACCCCAGAAACTCCTTAAGGTAGTGTTTCATGTATTTCTAATTAGGAAGTACTAATAGAAGGAAACCGTAATTCAATTTTTTTAACCTTTTTTCTTCAAATTTAGCCATGATTTTACTTACCTTGTTAGTGGTTCAGAAGATAAATATGTTTATATTTGGAGTACCTACCATGATCTAAGCAAGTTTACTTCAGTCAGGAGAGATCGAAATGACTTCTGGGAAGGTATTAAAGGTAAGTAAATCCCTGCTTCCATATTACAAGGGAATAGGGTAGAAATGTACTAGAATAAATTTGCGTAGGCATTATCTTAGAGTAAGTTTCATAGTTCTAACTGGGGTTTACTTTGTATTTAACTTTTTTTTTGAAGGATCAAATATTTATAGTGACATTTTTTTTTTAGTACGTTGTCACGACTAAACTCAAACTTGTAATCTTTCTTTATTTTCCATAATTTTATTGAGAAACAAATAGCAATGAGACAGTTTCAAACCAAATTGGTAGGACAGTTTCAATAATTAACACATTGCATACATTCTTCCTAGTGGTTAATTGCTGTACAAGATGCGGACATGATATCCTATTTACAAACACTATTAGAACAAATCCCTCTATTCATTAAGAGAATGTAACTATATATCTATCCTAACCATTTTGAATACACAGATACAAAATGGACATTCATCTGTATGAATATTATAGGTGTGTTAACTCAGCAAAATATTCTTAAAGAGTTCAGTAGTCCATAATAGTATTGGGTCTTCCACTTGACTGGCAGTGTCAGAAATTGTTGACCTGAGTCCCCTACAGCTCAACATAACACCATGGCTTTACTTCTTATACTTTGTTTTTATACTTTTCTGCTGGATGGATAAGACCAAGGTAAAGCAAGACCTATGCAACAAGAGTTGTAGCTTCGGGGTCTGATAAGGTCAGTGAAATCATCTCAGGATTTATCCTGAGATCCTGTACCTCAGATTGTAGAACCTTTGTCAGTGTCTTTATTTAACTTTGATTTTGGTTTTTCCATACCAAAAAAGAATTTACCCTGGTCTAAAATTTGAAGTCATGGAGTCTTAGAACCTGTTAGGTGATTTTTTTCAAGAAAAATTTTTGGGTTTTAAACTGTTCTTAGGGGGCCAGGGAGATGGCTCAATAGAATAAGCGCTTCCCTGGCAAGTGCAAGGGCCTGAGTTCAATCCCCAGTTCTGTAAAAAAAAAAAAAGTCACTTTTGGGCTGGTGAGATGGCTCAGTGGTCTGGAGCACCTACTTAGAACAAGCTTAGCAAAGCACAGAGACCACGGTTCAATCCCCCAGCACCACATGCCAGCCGGCCCCGCCCCCTGGTGGGCTGAGCTGGCCACACACACACAAATAAATAAATAAATAAATAAAATTTTAAAAAAAACTGTTCTTAGTTATTTCTGTCATTTTTATGGGTACCTGGCATATAACATACTTTTTATGTTAATTTTAAAGGATATATTGTGCATTTTTGTCTTGATGTTTAGTATCATATTTGTCAGTTATTCTGAATTAAATTTTTTCCCCAGCACATAATGCAGTTGTTACATCAGCCATCTTTGCTCCAAACCCAAATTTGATGTTATCTTTGGATATGCAGTCTGAAAAATCAGAAGGAAATGATAAAGGTGAAGATGCTGAAGTTTTGGATACATCCACTGGTAGATACCTATACTTTATTTGTCCTTTGTTTAATCTGGTCCACACTTAATACCATCACTGACTGGGTATTATATATGAGGAAGTTTTCATGAGCATAAAGAATATCTTTTGTTTACAGCACAGTAGTCATCATTTATCTATTTCTTAACATTTCAGTAACATATTTCTTGCAAGCTTTATTTCTTAAACCACCCAACAGCATCACTTGGGCAAATGTCATTTCAATCAGTCAATTATTATATTGAATAAATTTGATAAAATTGTGTTTATATTTTGTGTTATCTTATTAATTAAAATTGTAGGTTTTGATCATCCTATTTTTAAATAATTGGACTGGTAAGTGATTAAACTTGCCTAGGAATTAGTGAAATTTTTTGATGTTTGTAATTTTTTATAGGCAGGCATTCTTTTTAGAGTGAAGCAAACAAGATTATATCTCAGATTTCTGTTGCTATGACCAAATACCTGACAAAGAGGAGCAAAGGTTCATTTTGGCTATGGATTTCAGAGGTTTCAGTCCATAGTCAACTGGCTCCATTTCTTTTAGACCTGTGGTTAGGTAGAAACATGGCAGAAGGACATAACTGAGGAAAGCTGCTCACTCCTGGTAGCTAAGAAGCAAAGAGAAAGGGAGTAAGAGAGAAAGGGACAGAGGGCAAAATATAGCTTTCAAAGGTGTGCCCACAGTGAACTACTTCCTCTAACTAGGCCCCACCTAACAACCCATTCAGCTAACACCCTTCTGATCCAACTGCCTTTCTAGGCCCTACCTCGGAATATTGCTGCATTGAAGATTAAGCCTTCAATACATGAGTCTTTCAGGGACTCCATATTTAAACCATAACAATATTATAAATGCAAAATGATTTTATTATCTGTCCCTTCTATTATACTATAATTTCCAGAGTTTATACATCTTATTTGTCATCACTGCTTACTGTTGTACTTCTCTGCATATAACAGATGCTTAATAAATGCTTGTTAACTAAATGGATTAATTCAAGTGAAGGAAAGGTTCTTCTCCACTTGCCACATGTTTTCAGCTTCTCAAGATAGTTAGCTACTTATAAGCCTATGATTTTTTGCCATTTGTGGTGTATGATTTTAGAATGACTAGTAATTCCAGTTATATAAAATGTTCAGATTAGGAAGTAAAAGAAACTATCAACAGGTAGCATTAGTAAATGCCAAACTATTACATAAAATGATCTTACTAGTCAATAAGGTTATGTTAACACCTTGGTATTTGGACTAGTGAAAATAGTTTGTACTATAAATGTCAGTTATAGAAGCCAGTCCTAGTGATGTATGCCTGCAATCCAGTTACTAGGGAAGCTGAGGCAGGAGAATCAACAGCTTGAAACCATCTGGGGCAACTTGGTGAGACTGTATCAAAGTAAAAAAGGGCTGGGGATTTAGTTCGTTGGTAGAGTGCTTGCTTATCATGCTTGAGGCCCTGGGTTCAATCCCCATTACCAAAAATAAATTGCAGAATAATTTATTAAATAAATCTTTTTATTCTGCAGGCTACAACAAGGCCTTTAGAGAGCCATAAGGCCAAAAAAATAATTAGGGTACACAAAGGATCCTTCTAAAATTGTATATGATTGCTACAGAGTCTTCAAATACTTAATTTGACCTCAATTAACTTCCCTTGTCGGATCGTTTGTATTGTCCATACCACATGCTAGACATATCTATGGAGGAGAGTTTTGACAACAAAGATAAACTTTAGCCCTCTTTTCTTATCTTTTTCCTTTTCTTTTTTCTCTACTCCTCTTCTCTCCTCTCTCCTCCCCTCCCCTCTTCCTCCTCCTCTCCTCTCCTTCCTCTTTTTCAGTATTTGGAACCAAAGCCAAGGATTCACAGTGCTAGGCAGATGCTCTACCGTTGAGTGACATCCCCAGTCCCAACATTTCTTTCAGTTTCAAGATTTAAAATAAACCAACTCAAAATTATTTTAATAATTATTTACTAAGTACCTATTTGGAAATATTTCATTCTTTTTTTCCTTCTTTCACAGAAATAAATTCACTTTTTCTATTCTAGCTTAAGTAATTTAGTTTTTTCTTTTACTTTATTTGATTATGCCTTTTTTAGAATCTATATTACACTTTCTCTACATATTTCACAGAAAATCCTAGGTTTGAAAGCAATTTGAGAAAAAGTAAATTATATGATATTAGTAGAAACCTTCTCAAAAATGTACCACTTTAACAAGGTTCCTTTAATTCACTTAGTCATTTTTGAAGACACACAAGTTTATTGGATTCTGCTCAATTTGTATTTGTTGCTTTGTATGTATCTAAGAATAAACTCTGAAATATTCAGAGTATAGGATCAAAAAATATATCCAAATGCCCTGTCTTTATTTCTATTTTGGGCAGTTTGAATTTCAGTTTTCCTCATGTCTAAAATGGTGATGATAGCCTGCTTTACAGGGTTGTGAGGAGAATTTAAGATAATATATGTAAAGTACCTACCAAAATGTCTTAGATGTTATAGACATTATTATCTTTTAGTTAGTGTCTTAGAAAGCATTTTGTACTCATTTTCTTCTCTAGCTTTTCTTATATGCCTTAATCCTTTGCTGTTGTTATTGCTGCACAACATAACTTTTGGAATGTGTCAAGAGGGCAGTAACAAATGTTCAAAAGCTTAGAATATGTTTTTAGCCTAAGTGAAACCATTTTGTCTGGCTCATCTTGTTCACAACTTTCAAGTGAAAATGTAGATTATTCTTTCCTACTAATCAGTCCTTTTTACATCTACTTTTACCTATATTTGATAGAATCAGTTAACACTGAATTTGGATATAAAATGCTTTTATAGAACTGACAAATATAAGAAATAGGCCATTCACTGCTTAAATAAATCTTCAATATAGATAATAAATTAGGCAAAATGCGCTGTCAGCATTCACAGAGCAAATGTGTGTGCTCCATTTTATGGCAGTTTCAGCTATAAAATAAACTTTACTCTCTACCTAGTTATAGAGACTTTTACTAGCCACAAATCTGCCCAGCTGATCCCACTCTGCTGGCTTTCCAACCCTGCAGCTGAAAAATACACTAGCCTCCTTCCGTGAAATGGAAACTTTAGACAACTTAGAAGCATAGGCTGCCTGGGAGTAAATCCAGACATCAGGGAACTGTAATAGCTTCAAGCCAGGGAAAGAACATCTAAGACAAGGTAAGTAGAAAGAAGTAAGCCTCAGAGAGGAGGTAGGGTACAGTGTATGGAGGGTCTTGAGCATATGTTAATTGTGGCAGCAGGCTGCATATGCCTTTAAAGTCAACTGAAATTCTTTCTCCTATGCTTTTAAGGTACCATGAAGACAGATAACACAGAAGTTCTTCTCTCTGCTGACTTCACTGGCGCAATCAAAGTGTTTATTAACAAAAGGAAAAATGTATCTTAATTTGAA